CCTCTGCCACAAACATGCCCCTCCGTGACGGCCGAGCGGGGAGGGTCAGTGTGCTTTCAAGGGCGCTAGTCCAGGAGCACAGCCGAGCCTCATGGCCGCGGTCCTGCCTCAGGCAGAAAGTCCTGTGGGAGCAGAGGTGCCTGGGCAGCCGCTCCTCCTGCAGGATTGGGCTCTTTACAGACCGGAGGGGAGACAATTCCCATTTAAAACAAAACAAACAAATAACCCCTGATTAGGGTGGCCATCACAGAGGACAGGCCAGTTGTCCTCTGTCCTCTATTGACAAGAAACCCAACACCTTTATGTCCCCTTGCAGAGAAAAATAGAGGACACGAAGGCGTTGGATTTCATATCAATAGAGGACATAGGAGCAGAAAACCGGAATGTCCTGTATGATGGCCACCCTACTCCTGATTCAGCTTTAAAATCCTAGCCAGCGCATTCATTGCCAGTGCGGGCCAAACCTGGAGAAATGGGGATATAAAAAATGCAGCTCCCAAGCCAGTAAAACAACCGTCTCCCAGGTGCTTCTGAAAGAGAAGATATAAGCATCTCAGTAGGCATTTGCATGCTAGAGTAGTTTAGGTCCCCTCCTGGTCTCTGTGCAACTTGTATTGCTCCAGTAGCGGTACTATGGGGCCCTAAAATCAGCTTTGCTGGATACCTGGGACTTTTCCTTGCTGGGGAGTCTTTATGGTCTCCTGCTAATTTGGCTGGGTTTTTTACTTCCCTTCCTGACAAATGGAATCTTTAGATGGGGGAGGCTTTAGCCATCCTGGCCTGAAACCCTTTGGAATGAGAGCGGGTGTTAAGAGCAAAAATTTTCTCTGCATTTTCTGGCAGTACCAAAGCAACGGCTGACAAGCCCCAGAATCAGGCAGCATAGCATAAAGCCACCTCTTCCTCCCCCCTGCCCCCACCGATCTGGTCCTAAGAGCACCTCAGCTGGTCCAGAGGGGTCCAGTATAATTTCTAAAGAAGCCATTATAGTCCCTCTTTTTTTTGGTAACTAATATACATTAAAGCAAAGAGTCTGAGAGCAAACAGCTTGTTAATAGAATCAATATGTTATTACCTGGCTTGTCAGGTAACATAAAATTCCATTTGTAAAAATCCTGTCTCTATACTGTGAATATGCACATAACAAACCAGATTGGCTCTGTATTGTCATTGGGTAAATAACAAGGACTGTTAATAAAATATTATTACTTGCAGCATATATAAAATAATATTTGCTTGTCTACACACCATATACAGAAGAGGCCAAAATAACCACAAACAGCTTCCACTTCCTTATATTATGCTGCAGCTATGTCCTACTGTCTTAAGCTACAGCTATATAGTTTTTCATGCAATCTGTCAGTAACTGTTACAACACGAACCACTTCCATATGGCTTCTTTTGGCATGAAAGAGCTAGTTAACATCACCAGCTGACTATTTATCTTTGGTTCTCAACTCCATTTTCCAGAGGGCTAAGAAAAGGAGGGATAGCAAATATGAAAAGTTAAACATATGCAAATACACACATACACACACACTCCAGAAAGAGAGATTAGGGATGAATATATACTGCCATGTACATGGTGTAGTCATTTACTCCCATGCAAAGTATTCACACAATGCTAATAAAACAGCATGGTGGTATTTTTACCCACTTTGCTTAGATAAATAGTGTATTTTCTTCAAACTAGTACTTTTTGTACAAAATCAGTTCCAAAACCCTTTTCAGAGGAGGGGTGTGTGTGTGTGTGTGTGTGTGTGTGTGTGTGTGTGTATAATTCATTAAATGAAATAAGAACATTTATCAGTGCTGAAAGTAAAAGTCACAACACAAAATATGACACATCAGCCTTTTAAAGGTAAAAGCAGAGTACCACATTTAGTGGACTAGGATAGAATTCCATGAGATACACTTCCCTAATTAATGTGTCAGTATTTACCAGTAAATTCACCAATATATAAAGCGCAGATGTTTAAATTCATTCTTCTTCACCACTTGGACCTGGGAGTGATCTCCCAATGTGGGGTATACTACACAGAAATCCCTTAGTACTGCCTTTTACCCACTAGGGTGAAAGGGTTAATGAACACTTGGCACATGAAAAATGGATAGTGATAGCTGGAAGATGATTGCATGTAGACAGTGTGATAAGGTGCATAACTGAGAAACATCATGCTTTACACATAGCTCTGAGCTGAGAAGCGGGTAAACCTCATTTCCACTGAATTTCAGATAAAATATTAAAAACCATCAATATTTATTTTATCACACTCAGAAATATTTTATTCATTTATCTAATTTATCTAAGGAAATCATCTAGAGGAAGAGTTGGTTGAGCTGACATTTGGTGATAAAATTTGTTCTCTGTGAGCTTCATTATGTGCTATGTTGGCTGGTTACATGGTCTACTGCCTGCTTCTAGGAATTATTACCCATATGCATGAATTTGCAGGGCAGTATCAAAAGCAAAAATATATCACTACTTTTATATTAGAAATCCCAATGTGTTGTATCTGTACCAATAGATTGATATAGAAGTAGAATACAGAAATCTACATTAGAATTTTATATATGTACCACAAATGTATAGGCAAGCATCGCCCTCAGTCATACACCTTTAGTTCCACTAAATTACAATCCTAGGTCACTTCCTAAAGCTGCCTCTTCCTACTCTTGTACTGTAGTCAGAATAGGGCACAAAGCATTTGAAAAAATATTGAAGAAATGGACCAATTTTTAAAGCCAGAAATATCTGCAGAAATGTTTAGATTTTCTTGAAATGTTGACACATTTCTCTTCTATTCTTTATTGTTCAATATTTAGAATTGCCATTAGTCTTCTACCTAATTGAAACCATTTTTCAAAATTAAATTTTCAAGAACTAAAATTTTAAATTTTGAACCAACAAATTTAGCTTATGAAAACCAAAACTCCCTATAAAAAGTCTTAAAATAGAAAAATATACCATTTTAAAAACAGATTAGTTTTTTGACTAGTGTGTTTTTTTAATTTTATGTTAACATCAGCTTTACTACTAAATACCATTTTACCGCTAAATATCCAATCAACCACTAAATACCCAATAAACCAAGAGTTCTAGAGTTTTGCATTTCTTTTTGTCTCCGACCAACATGACTACCAAATACGATAAACCATGTCAGTCTTCTCCATGGCAAATTCATTCCAGCCTCCTTCATTTCTGCTACATTCTTTGCAGAGCACTCTGCCTGTTTTACCTCCTTGGACTCCCACGTTGCCTATTTGTATTCCCACTTGCCTATTTGTGACTTTCAGCTCCTTCCTAAAACTTCTCCTCTCTCTCCTGTTTCTTTTGCTCTGCTACAGAGACATAACAGGACAGCTCCACACCCTCCACGCCCAGCAGTGGCACACGGGGCAGCACAGCCAGCCAGGAGCTACAGTAGCAGCTATTTTTGTGCTTCCCCTCCCCCAAAAGTGGTGCCAGGGTTGGTTGCTCTGGTCACCACCTCCCTCCCTCTTCAGTTATGCAACTCACATACTTTTCTCTTCTAACACCTTCACCACACTTTGTTCCATTTTAATTATGCTGTTTTAAAACATGATTCAGCAAAATATTTATATATCAGCATAACACTAGTTAACTACTTTAATCTTCAAGTTGAGAAAGTGCTTAAATCAGAGCCTTAATATACCCCAAATTTCAACTGCATTTGGAGAACTGCTTTTCCAAATGGACTTGCCTCAATATGCAAGCACATTTTTCTATACGTGCAGCATCACCAGTAGAGAGCACACTGGAGCATCAGCCCATGGGAAACCAAAAGATAAATAGCTTGTCTTAACAATGCCGGCCTTGGATAAATGGAGATATATTTGAGACATTCAGCATTTAATTCAACACTCTTTATTGTTTTTAATATACTTTCAAGTCACCTTTATTTTATTCCATTCTACTTAGATTTCCTTTCCTAACTCAAAATCAAACAAACAAACAATATTACAACATAGGAAGGATAGGAAAAACAAATACCCCCCCACCCCGCTTTTTATGGGGGTGGAGGAAGGATGCATGGTTCAACAAAAGCCTTAACAAATT